TAAGATATTACAGCAGAATCTTGCATGATCTTAAGTAAATAATGCATTCAACTATGAAATTATAAGTTGCCTTTGCTTTAAGAAGATATTTATGAGCAATTATTGCAAGTATTTCGAATGTTTAAGGATTTTTTTATTTGAAATGGCCTGACTAATAATTCACCGTTATTATTTTGTGTAAGAGCAAGCATTAGTGACACTTCAAATTCATTAATTCATCTTGGTAAGTTATTACTTATGATTATCAAATGATGCACATGAATGCTAGGATTCTTGGTTAAAGCTAATCGTCTTCCACGTTGAGAAAAATCCTGTGTATTATTTTAAGAATGCTTGATTCCGGTTTAAGAGGCATAATTGTTAACTAATCGAGAACAAACTTTGCAAGCAAGTTTATAATTAATAAACTTAATAGAGCTAATAGCTCTGCTTATTAGTAACAAAAAGATGTAAATATTGTTCGAGCTCCTCAAAGCTTGCGATATGATTAAGTAACCCACAATTTTTCTTGATTCACCTTAGATACTTCAAAGTACTATTTTTTTGCTCGTAAATGACACTCACAAAAAGTATCATGATATCATATATATGCATAAATATACTTGCTACAGTGAGATGGCATTCTGATTATTGATTCATCGGAACTCTCGGCAACTCTTAATGTTTAAGAGCTAAGCTTCGTTGTTAACTTTTATCGAAATTGATATATTAAACGCAGCAATTAGATTGAATTTGAAAGCTGAAGAATAGTTTATTAACAAAAGTGCTGACTCTAAGTTATGTGCGAATTCTGTATTGGTCATATTTTCAGTTGCATTTGTAAAATGGCACAAAGGTCGGGAAAAAAATTTATCGGGTTTTCTTGGCATATTATCAATTTTTCATTTTTCTTCATTCTAGAGAGAATTTTCAAAATTTTGCTCTCTGTAAAAGTCAAGTATTGACATGGAGTGTCACAAAACATGCGGAGACTTAAAATTCAGATTGGACTCATAAAGTTAGCCTAATAAATTCCTTTCACTGCTGTAATTTGCATATTGCCGCAAGTTCAATCATTTCTCTCAACTGGCACAAATCATTTTAAGTATGGCCGGATAGTACTGCAAGTTTTTGAATTACTGATTTCAGCTCATTGATTATTATTTCTTCTTTCTTTGGCTAAATTGGATTATATATTTCTGTTGGCCTTTTACATTGTCCCATCAAACAAACAAGCATCGTTGTAAAATTTCTTAAGTAATTGACCAAACTAAGCTATTTTTAACAATTCTCGCAAATACCTCATATATAATAATGAAGAAAGACGACTTAAAAATGGACGTAATTTTAAGAAATTCTTTGACCTTAGCTCTGTCCATAAAATTGTGCCTGCATAAGTAATCATGCAAAACGTCACATCATACTTTTGGTTTTTACTTTTTTCAACCTAAAATGGTCTATTTTTTTTTTCAAATTTCTCCATGGATTCTGTGTGCATAAAAAATAAACAATGGCTCAGATGTCATTTCAAATACAGCCCGCATGAATTAAAAAAAAGCATCTGCACCTTTTTATAATATGAACTTCAACTAATGTTCTCAGTAACGGCGAAAAAAGAATCGAGAAAGAAGAGCAAATGGCTTCAAATGACCGACCACTAGAGTTATTTGATTATATTCAAACTAATCATTCTAACTTAGGTTTACTTTAATAAAGACCTTTTTACTCTGATTAAATAGCATTTCATATCACATTTGTTATACCATTTTAAAAGCTTAGTCAATAAAACTGAATTGATTTGACTTTGAAATTTTGCATAGTCTTGAACACTGCCAGCCTGTGCTTTACAACTTTAAAAATGCAACTCGTTTTTTGTAATACAGACAGGTATGTATAATATATGTGTAAAATATTATGTTAAAAAAAAACATGAGAAAATTACTTAAACTGAATGGACGTACGCATCTGTCGTACATAGAGAATCAAATTAGAACTATATACATAAAATTAATGTAAGACATAATTGCAGAAGCTAGCGGGTTGTAGAGCAGGTCAGGTACTAATTAAGTGTCATTTAATGCAACATAAGAGCTGAATTGAACTTTGCATTCTTTTTAGCTAGCTTAAATGAGTGTAGTGATTGCGACTGATACATTAAAGGGATGCATTCCCTTGAGAGTGCTAATTTTTTTAAATATTTGTTTAATTTGTATCAATCCTTGCAGAAAATTTTGTGACCGAATGCACCGCAGTTTTCACTCAAAGTACTTGCTTGCAAAAGAGCAATCTCTTTGGCACATATTTTCCGTAAGAAATCTGCTTGCATTTCTGGAGTGAGCGTGCGCTGCATGCAAGTTTATTTCGCAAAAAAGAAAGAATAAACTAAAAGTTGCACACTTTCTGTCAGAAATTCAATTTCTCAGTCTCATCACGTAATTAAATGTTATTTTCAGTTTTGTCTTGGAAGAAATTTGCAAAGGTGTCAATCAGCCAAAATTCTGAATATTTGTCTGACTCTTCGACTAGCTTAACAACGTGTGCTGGTCTGCTCTTGGCTAAACAATCCCCATAATGCATATTCTTCCGTTGTTACATACAAATCTGTTCTGAAAGCAAATAATAAGCAAAGCTTTAGAATTGTTTTCCATAAAAAAGAAAAACGAAATATGGCCCTATTTTGGTAGCTGGCGTATCTCTGCAGGAAATGCCAGTTACCAAAATAGATCAGAGTTTTTAAATTACGTTACTGTGAGAATAAAAACCATTCGTACACTCTACATTTTGAAGATTAGTCAATTTAGCATTAGCTTTTCAAAATACCTAAGAATTGTACGATTTATCTGAATAATATTAAAGATTATAAATTATATATTTCGATTAAATGATTGTTTAAATCCCTAAGACATTATTAATTATTTTGTGATTATTACTCAAATTTGCATAAATTAGGTAATTTGAAGTGTAATAATTACCGATGAATAAAGCATCATAAATACATACATAATATGCAAAAGAGCAAGAGTAAAGAAACCTTTCAAAGACGAGGTCAAGTTATTGTTACATGTTAATTTGCATTTGCAGGTAAAGCTATAATTTGAGTAAGTATAATAAGCCTTAAGAGCTACTGAAAGCTCGGAAAGAGATTGACTACTCAATCCAGTCGAATTTGGAATTTGAGGCACTTATCGCTTAAATTATCAACCAAAAATTTGTGCAGTTTTGTTGATTTACTTTGTTATTTCGACTAGGTAATTGTTGAGTTTTTCATGAAACGATTTAAACTTTTGTGACTATATCTTGAATCTGCAGTTTTTTAGAAGTAGAAAAATTATATCATAGTTTTACTTGGCCTAGAAGTGTCACTGTTCAAAAAAGAATTATACAAATGCGAGTCTTATAGTGCCTTTGGTATAGTGCTGGTTTTTATGCTTCAACTTTCTCTTCATAATTAAATGAAGTGAGTGAAGGTTTTTAGTACAATTTAAGAGTTTATAATTATGTATTTCACTAATCTCTCTTTCCTTCAGTTTAAAAATACTTTAACGATTTAATAAAAATTGAACATGCACTAAAAAATTACAAAAATGATGATAATTCTTATTTATGGGGTGAACTCTTTTTAAATTATATCTTCTGAATAATGAGCTAAGTAATCACAAACAATGCAATGAAAGCAAAAAATTCCTAGCCAATTATAAATCCATTTGTTGTTGACAATATGCAAAGCACAAAACATGGGAAAGATTTGTTATGATTGGTCGTTAAATTAAGTTATTTTAGTTGGTACCATTTTGTAGTTACGAATATGTCTCTGAAATAGGTTGTTTTTAACATATTCGAATGCTTAGTTCTGCATATTCAATTTGGTAGCAATCTTAGTTTGTTTTGATTTCAGGACTGCAAGAAAGAAAAAAGATTGAAATAATTTAATCACAATTCGTCTTTCCCTTTCCGATTTAGCTTTCCTTGTTACCCTTAGCATTTGTCACATCTGCTGGTGTTGACTGAATTTTGCTCAGCACAGCATGCTTTGCATATTTACTTTTTAGCTTACCTTTAAGCTGATCTTAAAGTTATTTTTATATAAAATGTAATCGCAGTTCATAATTTCTTCTCTCATCTGAGGTACGGATCAAGAAAAAATTTTTGAAACTTTTCTGTTCTGTTCTCGAGAATTATGAAAGAAGTGAAGAGTTTTTTGAGATAATATGCTAATTCTTACTGTCTTGCATATCTATCAAGACTTTTCATATCTTTTTGGATTTCCACTTTTTAATTATTAGTTAAATATGTAATGGTTTAGCAATGTAAATATTCTTTTTGGTGATGAAAGCTATTTGTTTGAGTTAGCAATAACTGTTGCGCTAACCCCAACCATTAAATTAGCGGTCTAAAATTTAAACAGTTGTAGAAGTATGGAACTATTAACAATAAATCATATTAATAAGAGAGCATACTGCTTAAGACATGTCATTCATTAAATCTTTGAATTGACTAACAATTCAAAACTTTGATAGGTGCTAAAATTAAATGAAATGAGTTTACAGTCTTTGTTCGGAATCATTTTAATAACTTTTACTGCAATTCCGGACTAAACAATAAGTGAAGAATGTAAATTGTCTACTTTACCACTTTGATTGAAACAAAGCGACAATCATATTTTGATCATTATTTAACAGTATGTTTTAGATATGACTAATGACTTTATTGCGATAAATTAGCGAAAAATCAAACAATGAAGCGAAACTTTTTGAAAATACTGCCTTTCTGCCTGGTATTCAATATTTTGGCTCAAGAAGGTATGTATGATTGATATTTTACTCCAAGAAATGGATTTCGAATCTCATTTTGACACTGCTTTGCAGATTTAGAACTGCAGTTTCCTCTAAAATCCATGTTTGTTTGTATGAATAATCCCGAAAATGATGAAGAGGAAAATTCATATCTCTCAAGTTATTTGATTATCCAAATATTCTACAAAAACATATAATAAGTGAAAGGAATCAAGAATTAGAACTTCAATGGTTCTTTTAGTTTTCTTTATCTTTGAATTTAAAAAACTTTCAGAATGGCGTGTACCTGACTCTCCAGAAAATGTTCGTTGGAAAACAAATGATAAAAGCATCACTTTGTGGTGGGATCCACCAGCAAGCGCAGGGGAAATCTTAGTCCGAGGGTATACAATTTCTTATGGCATTGGTACCCCAAGCCGACGAGTAATCATTGAAGGAGTCAATACCAATGCATTTACGATCAGCGGACTAAGTAAATCATTTTTCTGTAAAATTTTGGTGGTTTTTATGTAAATTAAATTTTAAATGGTTTTAATTCTATAAAACAATTAATTTCCTACCCCTTGCGTTCTTTCCTCTCATAACGTTCTTTTCTTTTGAATCCAAATTTGAGCAAAAAATTGAATATAAAAAATATTTTCAGAACCTAATACTACTTATGTTTTCGCAATGACCGCTTATAATGAAGCAGAAAATGAAGATTCCGAAAAAGTTCTATTTACTGCCACTACCGAGCACGTAAAAAATTTACGTAAGTGAATCGCATAAATTGCTTTTGAGAAAAATTATCATTCTGAAGTAGCAAGTACAAGCATGAAGTTTGAACAAACTTTTTGGTAATTTAATTTCGATATAAATGGCAGCGAAATGCATTTCTTTACAACAGATTCACTTTTTCAATTTTATAATAGATTCATTTTTGCTCTTTTTAATTTCATTCTTTTTAGTGTGTGCTATTGTGCTAAAAAGTTGCGTATGAGGAAGAACATTTGAATTTTTCATTTTTTCCAACTCATAAAGTATTCACAGAAATAACTCAATAATAATGGTATTATAATAATAGTAGCGAAATCAAATAGTTTACTTGCTTGCTAATTTCTTCTCATTTATAAAATAATTCTGAAATGAGAAGAAATGAGTAATATAAATTATTTTTAGCAAGTTTGAAAAAGTCAAATTTTGTATGCTTAAATGGATAAATGAAACTTGAAGTTTAATAGTCTTTCATGACTGCAGATGAAAGTCGATTCTATTTGGAAGCACCGATTCATGTTCAAGCAAAAACAATTTCACCGAATGAAGTTGAAGTTCACTGGGTGGATCCCAATGTTGCTTCTTATCAGGAGCATTTTTCTGATCTCACCACATTATTTAACAAACGTAAATACGTAATACAGTGAGTAAAAATGTTCTTAGACATTTTATTGTGTTAATAGTAATCTAAAAACTGTGAACTGCAAGTTTAATTTCTTCATATGGAGTGCTTATAGAACGAGAACATATATTGTTTAGGACATTACAATTTTGGGTTTTCAAACATGCAAATGGAATGAGATAAAATTTCTTCACATAATACTGGAAAAACTGTCGGCTAATGCTTCAGATATGGCAAATATCAGTCATTAACTTTTGAGAAGGTAACATCAGCAGTGCCTCATGTACTTCTTAACGGCTTGGAATCAGAGACAGAGTATGAAATTGCAGTCAAGATCGTGATACCGAGTGGAATAGAATCAGCATGGAGCCTTCGAGAAGTTGTTCGTACATCGAAAAATGGTACTTGTAGTTCTGAAAGGCTTAATGTATACTGATTTACCCTAGTCGACCCAACGTAGAAGTTCAACTACAAGTATTTATTTGTGAACAAGTGTCTAAAAACTATAAAAACTCTGGCAGTATAGTCAATTACCCTCAGATGCTGCATAAAGTTTATGTCACACTTTAATTTGTTGCTTGAAATTCCAGTATTGTTATAAATATTTAACTGATTAAGAAAGCCCATCAAAATGGTTAGATCAAATGGAAATTAGATGTGATTTCGAGAAAACAGATGAAAAGTGCATATTCCAATCTGATTTGCAAGCTCCACTTCAATGGACTAGGATTCAAGCCAGTCCTAACATGAAACATGGGCCTCATAGGCATTCATCAGGTCGAACATTATAACTCTGAACACTATCCCCTAATTTTATTAGTAAGAATTTAATATAGAGATTTTTAAGGACAACACTTTATAAGATTACAATCAACTGTAATGGATGACAATTACGGTCGGCTAATATCAGCACCCTTGAATTTCGATGGTGGCACTGAATATTGTCTCGGTCTCTGGATTTATGTTAAGCCGTTTAGCAAAGGTGCATTTGGCCATAACTTAAACGAAAAATAATTATTTGTAGTAATCAAGCACAAAAGTTTTTAAATTTGGTAAAGTTCTCGTAAATCGTTCCAAGAAATCAGATGAGAATGGCAAACTTTAGGAACATTCAGCGTAGGACTGCTTCGAAAAGTAGAAAATCGTGATATTGGACGCAGTTTATTTGTTGGCTCACTTAATCGAATTGCTAAAGGACGATGGCGTCATCTACTGCTAAATTTGCCTGTGTTGAATGCACCATTTCAGGTTGAATAAGTTACAACTCTTTCTTTCAAAGTCAATTTATTACTGTCCTTATTGAACAAAATTCAAAATTTCCGTACTTTTTGTCATGAACTCAATAGCGAGAATGAGCTTTGCCTTTCTGAAATACATGTTTAGATTTTAAAGAAATAGAAAAAGTAAAGAGATAGAACTTGAATGCACTAAATTTTGTGGATTAAAAAATGTAGCAAGCAGTGAATTTTGTGCCATTAAATCCAACTTCATTATTTCGTTCAATTATCTTTTTAGATTCACAAGTTCATTTATACTAAACTTCTGGAAATTATTTGAGGTCAGTGAAAAAAATACTGCAATTAGTCTTCAGAAGACTGAATGACCAAGTCAAAATTTTGAAAGCTTGAACTTAACAAATGAAGATCCTGTGGAGACAAAATAATTAAGTTGGCACTCTGCAATCTTCTTTTTCTTCATCATCCAAGTTTGCGTGTATGCGATTCACTTCAGGTGTCATTTGAAGTCCGTAAGCAAAAGAGTGATCGATTTTGGATTGCTTTAGATGATATAACTTTAGTCTCTCGACAATGTATCTATGATTCAACTGCACTTGTACAGAACAATGGTCGATTGATAGGTTTCTTTACATTACTTATTCAATTAATTGCTACTTCATTGATATGCAAAAGAAGTAAGCTATAAATTCCATCTTGTTTTCACATTTCTGAATGAATACAGAAAGTCTTGTAATTTGTAAGTAATTTTGTTGTTCATAATTGTTTTGGTAAATTCATCGACATTTATAATCAAAATAACATTTATGAATGTCAAAAAAATTTCTTTTAACATTAATTTTTGGAGTTTGAATTGATTACAGTCCAGTTCACTTTCATCATTCACGATAAGCTTTTTTAGGACAAAGCTAACTCTGCTTGAAAGATATTTCTTTCAAGAAAAAGCTTAGGAGACAAATTAGTTAAATTATTTAATTATTAACAATTAATAAATATCCTACATACTGGTAAAATGCTTAAAAAAGTAATTTTCGAGTGGCATCTCATATTTTGTGTATGATTTGTAACAGTAAAACTTTATGATAATACTTGAAAACTAGCTCTCCAAAATTTTTTTCAACATATACATAGTAATGAATTGTCAGTGAGCTTCAATTATCACAATTTCCTTTAGAAGATAATAGTAATGATCAGAAGGGACGAAATGAAAACAAATTCATATCCTCAAAATCAGTAAAATTAGCTCCAAGAGCTGCTCAGTTAAAGTGCGTGGCATGAGTATCTACGTAAGCGGCACTTGGTTAATTTTTAAGACAAAATCACTCAACTTCACACTTACTTTCTTTTTCCGTTTATTATTACGAAAAATTAGAGTAATATTTTTTTATCTATGAGATAAATTTTGCCACTACTACTGAATTTGGGCGTTTGGTAAGAATATTTGCTTGCATATTCTTTCATTTTTTGAACATGAAAGTTTTATTTATGAGATAAATTTTGCCACTACTACTGAATTTGGGCGTACGAATTAACTGCCTAATGAACTGCTGAAATGACTAATCTTACCAAGTAAACAAGTTTGTGTTTGCCTAAATACATTTCACCTATAAAAAGATGGAAAAATAAAGACCAATAAATATTGCATCACAAAAATTGCAATGAATCTCTCTGACAAATTTGATATATCTTTTACTTTTGAAAATTTAAAACTACTTACTATCTGTTAGACGATATGCAAAGAAATTACATATTAGTCTTAAAATTTGAAAAAATATTGGATGATGAAGAAAGAACATAGGTTACAATTTAGTTTCAGTGATATGATAACAAGCACTGCTTCACTTGACTTCTCGATCAATACTGTTATAATTATTTGCACGATTTTTCCATCTTGTAAGAATTACAGAGAATTCTGTCAGTTTATTCTAAAACATCTGCTCTGCTCCTTTTCATCAAATTTTAACAATATATTGTTCCTGGAAACTGACCAAAATTTTTTTCTTGTGAAAAATAAAATTGATTACAATTGACATAAAAATTTTTCAGAATGTGCCATAAAATTTCAAATTTATCATTAATTTTCTCTTTATTGATTAATTCCATTATTATTTTCAAAACGAAAAATTGTTAATAATAATATTAATGTGAGACAGGCTATTAATCTATGTTTTGTGATAAATACGTATGGACTGTCAAATCACTGCATCATAGAGTAAGCATATGACAATAAATATGAAAATATTTGAAAAGCCAAGGAAAGGCATGAAAATGTTGAATAGTAAATAGCAATGAAAGAGGAAATAATTTATATTTGTGTTGTGAATGCGAAAATGAGAATACTGCTCGGAACTAATGTTAGAGAACGCATGATGGTAGTAGGTAGATAGGTAGGTAGTTTTCTAGGTAGATGTTTGGCGCTTTCGTGAAATGTTGCTCACACTGATCTAAGTAATTTATTCGCATTTTTTGTAGGTGTTTCTCGCGCCCTGATGCAAAGACAGGAGAAAACTTTCCTCTCACTGAAAAATTGAATTAAGATAGTAATGTTTGTGATTATATTTCAAAATTCGAAAATAATCATAGTCAGTTGCATGCATGGAAATGACTGAATTTAGGAAGGATCAGCAAGGCAATGCATGTAAAGTGTTTGACTGTAATGGTTGGAATGAAAAATTCATTATTTACTTCTGTTTGCTGAAATCCACTTATTTAACCGTCTATAAGTCAAATAGGTAAAATTCCAATACTGAAGTGACTCATCACCTTTAAATTTAAATCAAAAACATGGCATGTGATGCATTCGGGATTCTATACAACTGTTTGCAGTGTCGTATGCAAGCAATCAAGATTAGCATATTCAGTGAGCAATGGAACTAAACAATTTTTCCGACAGATAGATCGGAACTAAATTTATTTTTTATGATTAATGAAACATAGGAAAAAAATTGAGGATTTAAGCAATGTGATGAATTAGAAAAGTTGGAGTGAATGAATGTAATAAACTTTTGGTCATTAAGTTTATCTTTTGGATTATAAAATTGCTGTTTAGCAATTAGTGTTGTTGTGATTAGAAAATTTTATTTTTGTCAACAAATAACTTTAATTCTACTGGTGGTTAAGCTGCAGGAACAACTTGTGATTTTTGAACAACTTATGATATTGATATACTTATGTTTCTTGATGAGATGTTTCAATTACATAAAAACTTCGTTAAAATGCAACTTAGAAGCATAAGTACATTCATATCATATTTGTTTAAAACTAACGAAGTTTTTGGATTGAATAGTTTTTGTAATAAGTTAAAAGAATACCCCTAATATGGGAGTGATGTGATGTTAGTAAATACCTTTTATTCTGCATAACAATAAACAAAACTTGTTTATTCTTTTGTTATGCTCATTTTACTTTCTTAGCGACAAAAATTCCAGTGAAGATACATAATAACACAGATATTTGCATAATTTCAGGCATTGTTCGATATTTTGTGGGAAGCTATAAAATTTAAAATGGTATTTTTATATACAGTAAAAGTACATTAAAGATTTCTGAAAGATCAGACTGTAATCAGCTGTTTTTTTTTAATTTTGAATTTCCAAATTTTGTCAAGTATTGTACTCAAAAATTTTAACTTCGATTACTTTATAACCACAATAAAATTTTACCACCTCAATTAGACAAGTTATTTGCTTTCTTAGTTACTGTACTCAAGATTTATTTTTAGTATTCCACTCAATATTTATGAGACATAACATAACCTTGAATATATGACGCTGAGTTACTAGCTAGAATATATTGCTTTCAACCAGGTGTGACCAATAAATAAATATGATTTACTCACAAATAATAATGCTACATCACAGAAATATAACTTGTGTAAATGATACTTAAATTCCGATCTTGTGTAACTGCTAATTACTGATCAGAAATATCAGTAACAATCAGTCTTACTCTTTTTTCCAGTGGCAAAATTCGCTGATAATTAACTGTCCTGCATTTTACACATCTGAGTGTTCATTTATCATTCCGGTTTATTTGACATTTTTCAAATTAAAATGTCATTTTTATTCATTTTCCTTCTCGTAACATGTACACTTCATGACATGCAAAATTCTGTACTCCCATCTTGCAAACAAATGCTCAGAATTTCTTATAATAATTACTTCAGTTTAGAATTCCAGTAATGCTATAAATTTTTCGTTATTTCCAAGTTCTTCACATTGCTGCTGATAGCACTTCAGCCAGTTAGTCGAAAATTTTAACTTTTTTATAATCACTTGAACTTACTTAAATTTGAAAACATGAAAATCATGAGAGTAAAACTTTTTGGAATAAATCTATACTTTCAGATTTAAGGTTGAGTTTACTTCTCCAAACTTGCAGTTTGTGCATATATTCAATGTGATCTGTAACTGAAAATTTCAAATATTCTTATCAGATCTTCAAATTACAGAGTGAAATAATTTGTTTGAGTACTTTTAACTTTCAAAAAACGAAAACAAATTATTTTGGTGTGCTTTTTTAATGTGAAATTGATTTACGATTCTTGCATAATTAGTGTGATAACTACAGTCGCACATACCTTTATAGATTAACTTCATGCATGGAAAATGATTCTGTTAGGAATAATGTTTAGCATCAATATTTCTGACGGTAAAAATTGAGCTGAAGAAGTTGTTTTTTTACAATTTCTAAATTAAAAATATTTCTGATATCAATTTGTATATCCAGAAATGACTTACATGAGGAAGATTGGAAATAGGCATTTAAAATGGCAAACACTGTTGTTTAATTATTGGAAATTTTTAGTTTCATTCAGACTGATCCTTAAAAATTTTATGGGACCTAAAAAGTTTCAATTTTCTGCAAAAACTATTTTGTTTTCAAAAAATTGCAAATAAATTGCTGAATAATAACTCAAAGTATGTTACTTGCAAGCAAATGTGCTCTTGCAGACCAAATCATAAGCTCTCGATTTCGGTCCAATAATTTAAATGAATAATGAAAACATTTTTCACATCAGTATTTCATTTTTTTCATAAAGTAAACATATTTTAAATCACTACTACGGTAATTACGAGATTTAAGCGGATTTTAATCTTCAATCAAATGCCTTTTATGTCTGTAAGTTGTAAACAGTTAAAGTTATCTTATACAAACATTGAAAACATGAATTAATTAAAATAACAAACAGGTCTAATACTAAATTTTCCATTTTTTATAATTCAAATATTCAGGAAAAAAAATATCACACAATAATAACTATGCAAAATTTTCGGAGTGGTTTTTTTAATCATTAAATAACATTTTCTGAAGAAGTAACATTTGTTTATTTTTTAATATTAATTAGTTTTTCAATTTATTTTGAATTTGGTTTGTATTGTGGGATTGTTGTTGCTTTTAGACGAATTAATTTGAGTTCAAAATTTTATTAAAAAATTGGATTGATTTAGACTTTGAAGTTATGAACAAACTGATTTGCATATGCAAGGTCGAAATCTAGTTGATACCATATTGACATTGAATAAACTGCATAATTTTCAATCATCAATCATATTTCTTTTATATCAATCAACTGTGGGCAGTATATGTGTAGAAAGGTAAAGTTATCGAATTTATCCGAGTATATTTTAATCATTTTTGTTATTGGTAGATAATGATATACCATTTCCGAGAAACTGCAAAATTTGGAAAGTGACAACATTTATTTCTAACTTCTGAAATAATTAGTTTCTGAAAATATTTAGATTGTTATTATGCAACAACTCGTTTATTTTATTATTAAGCATTTGATCTAACAATTTTTTGAAAAATCAGCTTTTGAACCAAAAATTACACTCGCACAATCACAGATTGACACACTTTAAATATGAGACGCGTGCGCGCATACTTCACATACTTTTTGCAATTATTTTACTGCAATTATATTTTATCAATTTTTTAAATACTCAGAACTTTATCAAGCATTTGAAATCTGACCATGATGTGAAACTCATTTTCTGATAGGTAGACTGGATTTGACTTTGTTTAGTTGTATAGGAACTTTCACTTTCTTTTGCATCAACCGTTTTGCATCAAACTACTCAGTGATTCCTTAGAAATACTACAACTCCTTATTCCTATTGAGATTTCTTAGTAGAAAAATTGAACTATTGATGAAAGAGAACAAAACAAGTTTAAAAAAATCTTTAGAAATTATTCATTCTCCTAAAAATTGTAAAAATAAGTTTGAAAAAAAGCAAAACTTTGCCGAGCATGTTCTTTGTTCACTTTTCTGCGCTTA